CACACTGAGCCAGGTTCTGCTGGCGGTTTCTTTCTGTTAAAAGGGAGTTTTTCCTCTCCACTGTCGCTACAAGCATGCTTAGTGTGATGGATTGTATTTGAGTCAATGAGTCGATGCAATCAACTGGTTTTCCTTAGATGGAAAACTTTGTATCAATTTGACTGTATGATCTAGTTGAACTGTAAAGTGCCTTGATATGACATGTGTTGTGAATTGACGCTATATAAATAAACTGAATTGAATTGAAAATTCTCAGTGAGAAGCTCAAACGATCTCTTGGGGAAAGTGGATCCAAACCTCCTGTTTGAACCCCAGCTCAGTTTGAAGCTCAGTTGATTCTTCCAGGCAGAGAAGGTCAGAAAAATCCAGCTTGCAGGATGACTTCCTACCAAGAGGCAAAGACAAAAACAAAGTTAAACTCAGGTTGAGAAAAACTCAGTATGACTCAGCAAAATTCAGCTTGGCTAGAGTACCCAAAACTGGAAAACACTCTGACGTCGAGGTAGTGGCAGTCAGCAGCTTAAGAACACTAACGAGGAAACCATCAGCAGGTGTGTGAGGAGGCGGACCAGAACCAGGCGCCTCCTGGTGGATGAAGGGAGACAAACACAGACACACAAACACAAAAACAGGAGTCCTGACATTGGGTTGCTTTGGTGCTGGTAAGGTGGGAGATTTGTACAGCCATGCAACGCCATGCCATACCCAGTGGACATCGCTTGATTTGAGCCAATTTTATCCTACAACAGGACAATGACCCTAAACACACCTCCAAATTGTGCAAGAACTATTTAGAGCAGAAGCAGGCAGCTGGTATTCTGCCAAAGGTCTGCAATCCCGTAATTGCTGCAAATGTAGGATTCTTCGACAAAAGCAAAGTTTGATGTAAAAAAAAAAAATCTATCTTAAATCTATCTATCTATCCCTATCTCCATATAGGCTAACATTGTCACGCTCTCTGTAGTTCCCCTGTGGCGCGAGCACAGGGTGGCTTTTTGCCCGATTTGAAGGACGGGTCTGATGTATCCTCGCTATGCTTTGTTTTCCCAGGATTCATTGCAAGACCAAGCAAGCCGGCTGTTTCGTGATCAGAGGAAAAAAGCACTTGGCGTAATAATTGGAAGTTCAGTTTAATATAATACAAGTCTGTGTTGGGATCTGGAGATCTGCCACCTTTCTCCAGCAGAGAGCGCCCTGGGTCTCCTGAGATGAAGCCACCTACACACCTGAGGCTGATCCACCTGATTAGGAGACCCACTACTTAAGCAGCGGCCAGATCTGTCTTCAGCGCCGGAGTGTTGAACAGTTTTGGTTAGCGGAACCTGAGCCTCAGCTTGAACTAAGAATCTCTGTCTGCTCTAGAGAGCAACCTGATCCTAACCAACCTCTGTCTTCTCTGCTCATAGGAAAACCCGACTGAAGTCTGTAGCTCTGGAGGAGCTCATGTTTGGAAACCTGCCTGCCTGCCTGCCCAGAGAAGCCAAACCTGAAGATCCTCAGTCTGAATCTCCCAGCTAGTTCTCTCCTGAAGGTCTGAATCTCGCTAGCCTGAAGCTAAGCTCTGCCGCTGCTGAGCTCTCTGCTGGAACCACAGTCTCTGGACCCAACCGGTTCCCTCTCTCCACCGATCAGTCTGAACCTCATCAGGTACAAATCAGAATCAAAACTCTGTCAAGACATTGCTGCTACCTGGCTAACTAAACAATCCCTCTCTGCAGATTACTCTGTGAAACCAAGTCCCGGACCAGTACCAGAACCAGTGCAACCGTTTACTCTGTGTGTGCTTTTCTAAATAAACTGTTAAACTTTTACTCTGCTTCGTGTGGTGTTCTGCATGTGGGTTTGATCACAGAGACCCATCATGACAGTCTGTGAATATTTCCGTCTGAAATCAATGAAAAATGAGTCATATATGTGGCGGTAATATTTGGTTTATCTAAAGGTTTTTATCTATTACTGTGTAAAAGGATATGGCTGTAATTTAAGGACAGATTCTAATATATCTGCAGTGTGGGGACTATAAATCTGATAGGATTTTTATTTTTTTTATTGCTGTTTTTTTACAATATGGTAAGTTAAGTATTTTTTGTTGTTCAATATTAGAGATTTTGCAGATATATTTTTTTATACATACATTGTTTAGATTTACCTATATCTTTCTACCCCTTTTATAGAATAGAAAACCTGTATATAGTTCCACAATAGGGAAAGTTACAG